CTGTTTGCCATTTCCATTGCATTATACTGCTTCTTGGATGTCTCTGTATGACAGACACTTTAGTGAGGTGTATAATGCTCCTGTGGCATTGGATACACTATTGTAGATAGTTGGTAATAGGATCTGTTGTCAAGGTCACTCCAGAAATCACCCTTAACCCCTTCTGATCTCAACAAAAACACGCTGGAGAATGTAGCTTTTTATCATCAATTGTTTTTAGTAGCATTCTTCTGTGAACAAAATCTCCAGAGTCACTAGGATTTTAATTTTGCAGCACTCATTTTCCTTGTGGAAACCAGAACACTAGCAAGGCCATCCCCCCAGTGCTGTGGAGAACTAGTCTCTGCAGCTTCAGGCAGCCCCTATAGAAGGGACCGCAGGGAAAAGATTTCAGGTCACTGAGATCCACTCATGCCTTATGCCTGTTTGAGAAATACAGCAATTCAAAAGCAAGAGATGGTAAGTTAAGCCCATGGGGGTAGTCCCTGGGTGTTTATCTTAGAAGTTCTCAGACAACCCAACCTTGGTTGCATAGTGATGACTTTCCTGTAAGAACCAATAAATCAAGGGCTAGTTTCCACTCTTTGCAAGACCACCTATGATTTCAAGTCCCAAGTGGATGGGCATCACTCTTTCCATACACTCTTTACATAATTACGCTAAAACAGCCGTTATTTCATCACACCAATTTAAGAATTATGACTGCTGGTGCATTTTGTTTTGTCTCCTGTTTCTGCTGACAAACTCAAATAGCCAAAGAAAGGTCCTTTATAGTTTTCTCAGGAGAACAGCTCTACCAAAGAGATTATTGAGAAATGTTTTCACTCAAGCTTTACCTGTAAAAATGTGTTTTTTCAAGGATTCTCTCTCACCCACAGAACCAATCAGATACCTTCACACACAAGCAACTGAACACTGTGGTTTAGGATAATGTTCCTTCACCTCAAGTGTCTTGTCCCACCCTAGGTAAAGCAAAATGTTTGTTGTGGCTTAATCTGAATGTCTGGTGCAAAATGACATGTCACATTGTGGGAAAGCTCAGTGGCTCCTCTCCTCCATCTTCCTTCCAACATCCAAAGTTTCAGTAAAACTTTGCTTTCTCCAAGCCCTTGGCTTCTCTAAAGGTGTACTCATGCACTTATTAACCTGCCACAAATACACAGACACATTCCTATTGCTTTCTGACAAAAACCCTGGAAAATCCCAATCCAAAGTGAAATTATTGTTCCACCAACAGTCATCCTGGAAAGCATGTCAGATTGCATTACATGAATGCATTTGACGGTGATCCCTAAATTGCTGGGATTTGGGTGAAGGGGGTGGAAGGTCTTACACTTTGGCTGAAATCTTCAAAACAGGTTTTTCTCCTTCTGACTCTCCTTGATTTCTGTCACTGTGAGGAAAACATCTCCTTTTGCTGTTCAGAAGCTCTGGAGGACCTTTCCAACATTTAGGATCTATAGGCTTCTTTTGAAAACCAAGAGCAAGATTTTCAGTAGCTTTTAGGCATTTAAAAATGCCCATAGTGAATGGGTTTCACTAGGAAACCCATTAAATGTGTTTCCTAGTTAGGTCTTCAAACTAGAGCTGTGCACCCAGGCATTCAGAAACAAACTGCAAGGCAGAAAAAACACACCTTCATCTTCTCTCAGTGCATAAATAACATTTTAGAGAAGCTGAGTAGGATGAGAGGCAATGAGCAGAAACTCTGAAGGACTATCCCCGGCATCTCTCATGCTTCTGAGCAGGCTTTCCCTGTAGTGATGGTATCTGACAGCAAAAATCCAGTGGCAGCACATATGACTCTACCACATCTCTCATCAAGAGTAATTTTGTCCGATCCCTCCTTCCTTTGGGAGAAGGAGGAGATGAGCTGGACAGACAGTACCAAACACAGGCTGTGTCTCCAGTAACTGCAGCAGATCCCAAGCCCCAGACAGCTCACGAGGCCACAGGGGAGGCTCTGACCTCCTCCCACAAAGTTATGAGCCAAATTACATCTAGCCCAAGGCTGTTCAGTAAATAAACTCCCACCTTCCACCTCAGCTAGTCACAGGCACCAGCCCAAGCCAAAATCAATAGATGAGAAGCAATCTGTCATTTCCAGGCCACACTGGTTGAGTTATGGATGAGTCAAAAAACACTACAGGAAACACAGATGGGGTGAGATCATCTCCTTCTCTGGAGCCCTTCTATCTCTACAAGTCTTGCCTAATCTCCCTCAAAATTTCCATGTGCATATACAAAACCATCTCGTGTACCTTGTGGTTGTGCCTGTTCCAGTGCAGGTGCATTGTGTAATGTTTGGCAGGGCCAGGCCAGCCTGGCACAAGCAACAGGAGCCTGAATTCACCTGAGCAGCAGGCAGGCTGGTGTCTCCTGTAGGAAAGTTTTTTCAGTTATTTCAAATGCCTCCCACTCGCACACAAAGTCCATGTTTTGTAATAAAAACAAGGACAAAATCTCATCCAAAGGAATTTTACCTATTTCCCCTTCTACTTATTCCACTGAAGTTATCTTTTTAAACCCTCCCCCCACCAAAACTGGCCACTAGAACAACAAAGTAGCCAAGATGCTAAATTAATAACCTTATTCTTCAAAATCCACCTTGCCCTTCATACTAACAGGTTTCAAAACCAGTCCTATATCATCCAGTATCTTATAATTTTTTAAAAGGTTTCACTGAATTTCTCCCTTCATACAGGTAATGTTTTTCCTTTGAGAGAGGCAGAGAATAGTGCCTCTCTATAGAAAATAGAAAATTTTCCAGTAACTGAAATTTTCCCTGCAAACTTAGGTAGGCATTACCCTATTCAGCTGCAGAGAGGCAAAGGTGTTGCAATTTAATCCTGTACAGAAAGGAGCAGGAAGGCCAAGAAAGACAAGGGGGATATATTCCTGCCTCCCCCATTCCCCCCCACCCCTCCAAAAAAACCCCAAAAGGTTGCTTAGGTCCATGTGCCCAGATGAAGCTGCAATGGGTTAGTTCAGTCACCCCACCCCAGCCAAGCCACAATAACTGATCATGCACAGGCTGTCCTCCCACTCCAAAGCTCACCATTGAGCTTTAAACAGAAATACCACATCCCAAGGCCGTAATCCTTTAGCTCACAGCCAGCAGCCACAGCCAGCTGTGGGCTAAAAGCCACATTAAACTCACAGGAGGAGAAGCATTTGCTGAAATGCTTTGCTGAACAAGGATGAGCAACTGTGCTTGGGCTTTAGCTGCTCTTACAAACTCCTGTACGTCTTGGCTCTGGTTTTCTTTGCCACATGGCAGCTGGTTAGTCCAAGAATTCCTGGGAGGGAAAGTGACTGTAGAAACTCAGCTGTGCAACATATGCTCCATCTAGTGCTTATTCCTAGTATTGCATTTTCTTAAAAGGTTTGGTTTGCTGTTAACATATATTTCCATCTTTTCTGTAGTTCATATGTCTGTAGGTGATCATTGCTGAAAATAACCTGCTTATTTCAACTACACCATTTTGATCTAGCCTCCATTTACACCTTCAGTAATAACTATACACCAATTTCCATTTAGAGGTAAAATCTCATGGAGCAAAATTAAGGGAAAATGTTTTAAAAGGGCAGCAAGGGTTTCCCCAGGTACTCTGCCAACACCAAGTGAATGGAAAACGTCAAACAGGAGTAAAACATAAAACCTGGTGGGCACACAGGGGAAAGTTTCTCCCCATAAATGGTACTTCCCAGACATGAGGGCACAGTGCTGAGCCTCTTTGCCATAGACTGAGGTACTTTTTTGTCCTCTATGTCAATCCAGGCCGCTGGGGAAGGACAGAAAAATAAGCAGGTGACACAAAGCCCTTGCTGCCTTTTCAGGCTACCCTCATCACACCAGAACACAGCAGCTGCTGGGAGCAAGTCCTGCAAGTAATTTGGCAAAGCTCTGGAGAACAAATGACCTGGAAATGCACCCAGGTTGCGTGCAAGGCATTGCAGGGTAGAAAAAAGGAACAGTGGCAACAGCCATCAGGTTTGGCAACTGCCATGTGTATTTTGAAAGGGCAGGACTTGCATGCCAGATTTGGCTGTGGGCCAAAACACTCCAACACACAGAGTCTCTTTTTACCACATGCTATCCCCTAATTTACATTACTTGAAGGAGTTCCTGGTTCCTAATTTGCTGTTCAGCTGATGGTAGTGCCCTTAACTGCAAAAAGAAAAGCCAACAACAGGTGGGACAAGAAGTCCCAAGCTAACATTTTGATAAAGAAGTAAAAGAAAGAAAGCCCAACCCCATTCTGTAGTGTTAGCAGGACTGGTGAGGTGCTGGGGTGGGCTGCCTTGCAATGGGCCAGGATCTGCAGTGGGGAAGACCTTCAGAAAATAGTTGAACATTCCCAGAGGAAGGCTTGGGTTGGCTGATCCTACCTGGAGTGGTGGCAGCGTAAGCAGGTCCACTCCTTCTGGGAGGAGGCCAAGAGGATCCCAGCCCAGCTAAGAGGAGAGCTGGCAAGGAGCTGTGATAGAAACAGAACAGCCTCTGGACACTGCAGCCACAGGGTACAATCCCAGGCACAGATTTAAGCTCAGAAACAGCGCTTTCATTGCTGTGGAAAGCAGAAGGGGAACCAACAATACAGCTTCTTGGGCAGAACACATTTAGGAGATTCCCACATCCCCTGCCTGCTCTTCCCATGTGCCAGAGCTTGCAGCAGAGCTCCCCAAATCTCAGGTGAGAAGGCAGCAAACTGGGAGCAGGCTCCTGTGTGGGGTAACCACAAAGGGCTCCTCTGGGGTGGCATAAAACTAAATACATAGAAGGGCATTTGCTGTAACAGCAGTGCTTGAGTAGACCCTCCAATAAATCAGATACAGGCCTTCTGCAGGATATCCTCCAGGGCAGCACACAAACCAGGGCCACTTTGCAGAGATTCAGGTCCAGTTTGCTGCAAAAAATGAGAACAGCTTACCCTAATGAGGAATGCACAACATGAGAAAACATCTTCCAACTGTGTGTTTTGTGGTGCTTTTCATAGGTGATGGTCATGCTGCTCTTCCCCATGCAGCTGCTGGTAGTAGCTGTCACTGTTTACCTAGAGCTGGTGAGATCTGCACAAGGTGGTGCCTACTATGGGATCAAGCAGCTGCCACCTCAGGTGCCCCAGTACCAACCCCTTGGACAACAAGTACCTCACATGCCACTGGGCAAAGAAGGCATCCCAATGCAGCACCTGGGCAAGGAGGTACCCCGCATGCCCTACGGGAAGGAGTACCCCCATCTGCCCCAGTACAGGAAGGAGGTCCCACAGATGCCCATGCTCGGCAAGGATATGGCTCCCAAGAAAGAGAAAGGTAGGTCAGCATGTCCCTCTCCACTCCTGCACGGTCCCATCTGGCGTGCCATGGGGAAACTGAACATTGGAGCAGGCTGCTGCTGCAGGCTGGGCACAGCACCCTTGTGCCCAAAGGGCTGGCCAGGCTCATACCTGGCCACAGGTGGACAAAACAGGTTCAAGGGAGCTGTGGGGCAGCTCAGGGTCACCAGCACAAGACCACAGTCATCTCTGGGCTGCAGCACAGCCTCTGAGCAGCCCTTCCTGCAATGAGCCTCCAGCATACAGGTTTGCTCAGATGCTGTTCAACTCTAGGAAAAGTCTTGCTGTCTCACCTGTTTGTAGGAGACCCTCTGACGGGGTTTCAAATGATGACTCAGAGTCCTGTCTGGATCTGCTCCTACTCTCACTGGAACAAGCAGACATATGAACTAAGAGTCCCAAGGTTTAAATTTATGGGAACATGACTGTTTTTGTCTGACTTTGTCCAGACCCTGTGATTTTGAGGTTTGCCGATAAAACCATACAATTTCTCTACAGACTCTGGAGTCCTCTTTCTGTAAGTTATTTATGGGTGTAACAGAGGCATTGAAAGTACAGAGGATTAATGCACAGGTCTGCACGTACAAGCACTTTCTCTGTTCAGTAAAGGAAGTGTGGACAGTATTAAGGTATTTAAGAAAACAAAAAAAATGTCCAAAATACAAAGGGTGACCAGGAACACCCAGTGTCATAAAATTCTTGTGAGGACCACCAGCATCTGTGCAAGTGCAGACAAACTGGGTAACTTTGTCTTACTGAGGCCCCAGCTAACCACAGCCTCCACTGACTTCAGAGGGAAATGGAAGATTTCAGGGCCTATTTTTGGAGTGTATGAACAAGAACCATTGCCTGTAGTAAAATCAACCTACCTCACGAGGAAAGATTTTTGATGTGCATAAAATACAACATGTGCAGAGAGGGAAGGTTTCTGCCTCCCATAAAGCAGAGGTCTGCCCTCAAACCTCATTTCCTCTCCTTCCCCAAATCTCTTACTTCTTTACACATTTTAGAGCCAGAAAGAGTTTCCATTAACCCAAAAAGCAGCAGCTTGAAAAGCAACCAACCCCAGCAGCAACTTCCCTACCCTGACCTGCAATGACAAGTGGTGACATACACAAAAATGAGGGTTTCAACAATAAAACCTTTTTCAAAGTGTGTAGAAGAGCCATAACTAGACATGGCTATGCCAAAAGAGCAATAGTGATTAAGGCTGCAGGTTTCCAGTAATACTCTAATGGGAACTAAAGCCTTCAGGAAAATACAGACATACCTTATGTATAAACTTCTTACTAATACAATCTAATTTAATTGATCTTGCTTATTTTCGCCCATCCAGAAAAAGCACTTTCATGCCAGAGTTCCTCCCACAGCACGAGAGCACTGAGTTTCCTGCAAAAACTCTTAAAGGTAGATTGATCTACCTCAATGTGGGACAAAATGCAGATTTTGCTGTTTAAGATTGTCTAGGTAGAAAACACCACCAAAGCACAAATGGCTTTTACATATCATGCACAGTAATTACTTTGTGGTAACAGAAGCACGCATGGAAGTTTTCAGTATGAAAAACAGTAACATCCTCTTTAATTCTCAACACCAACCTGTAACTCACTAGTTGTCTCTGTCTACACGACAAGGCATCATTAAAAGCATATTCAATTCAAAACCCTGTTTTTGGAAGGATGTGACTGCACTCACCTTTTATCTCTCCCTCTCCCCTTTCTTCTTCCCAGAAATTCCCATGCGCAGTCTGAGGGGTGAGCAAGGTCCCCCGGGTGAGCCTGGACCAAGAGGGCCACCAGGGCCACCAGGATTACCAGGTCATGGTGTACCAGGAGCCAAAGGAAAACCAGGCCCACAAGGATACCCAGGAATTGGGAAGCCGGGTTTGCCAGGGATGCCAGGAAAACCAGGGGTCATGGGGCCCCCAGGGCCAAGAGGGGAGATGGGGCCGAAGGGGGAGATTGGGCCCATGGGGATTCCTGGACCACAAGGACCACCAGGGCCTCATGGGCTTCCTGGCATAGGGAAGGCGGGTGCTCCGGGGCTGCAGGGGCAACCAGGGCCAAAGGGTGAGCCTGGGATGAAGGGGCCACCAGGAATCCCTGGGATCCCAGGGCCAAAAGGGGAGAAGGGGGTTGGGATCCCAGGTTTGCCAGGTCTGAAGGGTCCACCTGGGCTTCCTGGTCCCCCTGGCCCCGTAGGACTGCCAGGGGTTGGCAAACCCGGCATGGTTGGCTTCCCTGGCCCACAGGGACCCCTAGGCAAACCCGGACCCCCAGGAGAGTTGGGGCTGCAGGGGCCTCCAGGGGCCCCTGGGCTCCAAGGCCCTCCCGGCGCGCCTGGTATTGGCAAACCAGGCCAGGATGGCATGCCTGGCCAGCCCGGCTTCCCGGGTGGCAAAGGGGAGCAAGGATTGCCAGGCCTGCCAGGGCCCCCCGGCCTCCCTGGGGTTGGGAAGCCGGGCTTCCCTGGGCCCAAAGGGGAGCGAGGTGTGGGTGGTCTGCCTGGGCCCCTGGGGCCGAAGGGGGAGAAGGGGCATGCAGGGCCACCTGGCATGGGAGGGCCACCAGGGGAACCCGGCCAGCCAGGACTGCCGGGCATCATGGGACCCCCGGGGGCCGCTGGTTTCCCAGGACCTAAAGGGGAGGGGGGTGCCGTAGGGCCACCAGGACCAGTCGGCCCCAAAGGGGAACCCGGCCTGCAGGGTTTTCCAGGAAAGCCAGGCTTTCCTGGGGAAGTGGGTGGCCCTGGGCTGCGGGGGCTGCCGGGCCCCACAGGACCCAAGGGGGAAGCCGGACACAAAGGCTTGCCAGGACTGCCGGGTGTCCCGGGGCTTGTGGGGCCAAAGGGTGAGCCCGGGCTCCCCGGAGCCCAGGGGCTTCAGGGCCCCTCGGGCATCCCGGGCATCGCGGGACCTAGTGGTCCTATTGGCCCCCCCGGGCTGCCAGGGGCGAAGGGCGAGCCAGGCATGCCCGGCCCCCCTGGCTTCCCTGGGGTAGGCAAACCTGGTGCTGCGGGGCTGCAGGGACCCCCGGGAAAACCTGGGGCGCTCGGTCCTCCTGGCCAGCCGGGGCTCCAGGGGCCACCGGGCCCCCCCGGGCCGCCAGGTCCCTCGGTCATCATCCCGCCCACTCCACCAGCTGTGGGACAATACCTGCCTGAGGTGGGACCAGGGATAGACGGCTTGAAGCCCCCCTACGGCTACAAGGGCAAGACAGACAAGGCTGGCGGCATTGTTTACGAGATGCCCGCGTTCACGGCAGAGCTGCTCACGCCCTTCCCCCGAGTCGGGGTGCCCGTGAAGTTCGACAAGCTCCTGTACAACGGCCGGCAGAACTACAATCCCCAGACGGGAATCTTCACATGCGAGATCCCCGGTGTCTACTATTTCGCCTACCACGTCCACTGTAAAGGCGCCAACGTGTGGGTGGCGCTGTACAAGAACAACGAGCCGCTCATGTACACCTACGACGAATACAAGAAGGGCTTTCTGGACCAGGCTTCGGGCAGTGCCGTGGTGCAGCTGATGCACGGAGACAAGGTTTACGTTCAGATGCCATCCGAGCAGGCAGCAGGACTCTATGCCGGGCAGTACGTTCATTCGTCTTTTTCAGGGTATTTATTGTATCCCATGTAAAGCAAACAGACACACACACACACACACACACACACACACACACACACACCACAAAATCAAAACCTTTCTCCTCTGCTTCTAACTTTTATACAACAAAAGGTGCATTTTATGACCATTTGACCATCTTGTACAAAAACAAAAATAATAAATACAAAGTTTAACATTATGCACAGCTAGTTATAAAAAAAGGTGTGGCAAACATATCTAAAGATGTATATCAGGTTCATAAATAGTTGTTTTGCACCCAAGGGGGACATATTAGCTGTACATTATATATTTCTGCAATGCCATGCTTACTTAATTTCATTCACAGTAATTCACTACTAAAGTTCAAATCAGTGTATGTCACTCACTCCTGTTGCATTGATCATAGTTATGAGACGAAAAACAAGTGACTTAAAGCAGAGTAGGTCAGTCTCGAATTATATTTTAAAAAATTGAGAGGCTTATTTGTCTGGGTGGGGGTTTTCTTTGATTTTTTATAACCGGTCTACCTGACAAGCAAAGGTTCCCTTAGCTGGAGACTTTTATTTCCCTTCCCCTGTAATAAAATAATCCTACATGTGGGAGTTTTTTTCCTGAACAATTTATTTATGATGGAAGAGAAATCCTGATAGCATGATCATTCCCCCCCAGCCTTCTCCAGCAGTCACTGGACCTAAAATGTCACCAGTGCCTCCAGCAGGCACTGGCTTCACTTCCAAATGCCACAGCACTTAAAAAGTCTCCGTTCCCTATTCACACAGCTCAAGTAGAGGAGGTAAATCTCCCCCATTTATTTGTGCCACATCATTGAGACATTTTAGCCAACACATGGCCATACTTCCGGGTGGCATAAATTTGCTTGGATTTCTGTGCTTGTACCAAGAATCCAGTTAGCTTGTCAGAAGAAACACCTATTCTGCCACTCAGCAAAAGCTGAATCAGTTTGCTTTTCAATGACTAGGCAAAGCAGAAGTAGCTTTGTTTGCTTAACTGATTTACTGCTTGAGATCAACCAATAACTTTACTGGCAATACTGATCATGCAAATTTATCTGAGAACTTGGTTCTATCTAAAAACTGATTTCCAATCCTTATTTATACGTTACCAGTTGTCAAGGAGAACCTGCAGGCCTCAATACTTTTCTGTACTTGAGGACAGTGACTTCTGTGCATGAAGTCTCTGTCTGCTCATCAGTGGTGCTAAATCTCACCTCAACAAGTGTTCTGTTTCCAAAGGGCAGTGGACCTTGCTGTGGTTCCCTGTACAGTGCTGCACTTCACACATGGCTGCACTAGTTCAAGGAGTTAAGTGCTCATCACTTCTTCAGTGTCTTTAGCTACCGCTACTGCTTTTGATTCAAAAATGAACTAGATTTTTTCATGTAGAACTAAGATTGGATTTAACTGGCATGACCATTATTTAAATGCAGAGTTTAATGCAGTCTAACATTGACTAAGGACTCCAGTGATATAATGTGGTGCTTTATCTCAGAAATTTTATGGAATGGTGGCAGGAATGGACAAACAGTTTACCAGACACTGGTGACTTCAGTATGTTCCCAGAATGTATGAGATACGTCAAAAGCAAATAATTTTGTATTTAAAATTTTTGTACTGATTTGAAAGAAATACCTTATTAAATATCTTTAAAAATAAAACCAAAACCCAATTCTGTCTTCATTCAGAACTATCAGAAGGAACATTCATCCTGCTGAACTCATTTATCAGACCACAAGGGCTCTCTGAAACCACTGACAGCCTGATATAGGGGGGGAAATTAAGAGATACACCCTTTTCTCTAGTTCCCATCTCCTAGTAAAACATGCTCTAAGCCAGAGAGGGAACACATCCCATTTGGTGGGAGGGCACAGCAGGGTTTGGGGGGTACATGAAGAGGGAGGGACTCCCTCAGGTAGCCCCGGGGGACAAATACTGCTCAGCATGAGCCAATATGGGAGTGCAGCTGAAGAAGGCAGATGGACAGCCAAGGAATCAGCCACAGAGGCTGCTGCTAAGGGCTTTTGTTGCCTGAAAAGGCAGAACTGGCTGCCCAGGACGAGAGGTGCTGGCTCTCCTGATGTGGTTTCCTCACCTCAAAGACAAGCATTTCCTCCAAGCTGGTGAACGCCTGATCTGTCCATACTGAAAGCCTGAAATGCACTGAATACCTACTCTGCCAGAGAATTGTTATCCGAATCTCCCTTGGACTACCTGAAGCCTTCAGCATCTCATTTTTACTGCACAAAGGAAAAATACTGCACTCACTTTCTATCTAAAGCCATTTTCCCTTTCTGAAAATTTTTATTGCACACCATCTTTGTTCTTCATCTCTTATTTCAGTCCCCCACCAGTTCACAGTAAGACAAACAAGATTCAAAATACAATGAAAAATTTGAATCACAAGGATGCTGCTCTTGATCTTACCCACAAAAAACATGTCTCGGCTATGGCTATACTCCACCTGGATCTCTAGCCACAGCACAACTCTGCCCATCTAGGTTCAAAAACTTTCAGCTGTTTGCTTTACAAAGCACTGAAGTTTGTTCCAAAACTTGAAACCATATCTGACAACACTATTTACTTGACACACGAATAATAACAGCCCTGGGCATACCCGCACATCCACACTCACACACAGAACACCAGCTTTGCAAAAATAAGTCTGAGGTCACTGTCTTTAACAGTTTATTCACAGGAAAATAATCTCCTTCTATATGTAGCATTCAAAATTTCATTTGAAACAACTCTAAGAATTCTTCAAAATACAGGTGGCATTTCAAAGGCATATAAAACTTAAGACAAATAGCAAATAAAATAAGTATTTCCCAATACCAAAAACATATGCTGAGCTTTATATGTTCTTAAAAATCACAGTCCACTTAAAAGTGAAGGTGTTTATACTCTTCCCCCAGAGCATTGCTAAAAAGGAAAGCATGGCATTGGAAACAAGAAGTACCAATTGCTAATTAAACATCAAAGTTGTGATTCTGTATTATTATCACCTATATAGTCACTGGAAATATCTGGAATACATTTAGGAACATCTCCTAGACACTCAGATTCGTATTTAGTGCAATAGTCTGCGACTTCCCTTAATTATTACAGCAGAGGAAATAATAGTTTCCCAACAAAGAAACCTCCAGAAAGTTTGAGCCAAACAGAGCTTTCAGCCAGCATGTGTCATCCTGCCTGTTTTGTGCATAGGTTGGTATTTTAGAGCTGTGACTATCTGACATTGCAGCATTTTGAGATGGGTGGCAGATAAAATGCAGAAGGACCTTTGCTGTAAATTCAGCAAGCTGCCAGAGAACATGAACAGAATAAGAAGGGAGGAGAACATCTTACTTCAGATAGAAAAATGATGGGAGACACTGGGGACCTACACAGTTACACCATTATCAGACACATAAATAAAGCTGGCAGCACCCTGGGATTCAAAACCGGCCGCTTCACTCCCGATATGATTAAAAAAAAAAAAAACAGAGCTTTTAAAGGGAAATTTCAGTGCAGATTTCATTTTCAGAAGCAGCAAAAAGGTAAAAAAAGTCCTAATAGCAGCTCAGGCCCAGAAACTATCTAAGTATTTGATGTCAGCATTATTGTTTTATTCTAAAAGCCCCAAGTCTTTGGTACTGCAAAACACCTCTGAAAATGTGTGCCCAGACAGAAGAGACACTAATTTGTGATCACTGCTGAGAAACACACTACATATGGGTGTTTCTGCCTCTGTCCTTGAGGCAGAGCAGCAGGAATGCTGTACATGAAGCAGGTGCTGGAAGAGGGCTCGTGTACACAGAATCCTACAACTTGTGGGGAGAAAAATTCATTACTTGGCTCACTGCTTATAGTAGAAGAGAAAAAAGCTACTGGCCTGCAAGCTGGGCTTTCAAGAAAAAAAAAAAAAAAACCCAAACAAGCAAAAAACCCAACAACAACAAAAAACCCCACCACAAATGCCTGATAGTTTATCAGCAGCATCAGCTCTTGGCTTGATCCTGAGGGAACAGTTTCATTCAAAATGTTACCCAGTCACCCAGGGACAAAAACTGCAGTGGACTCAACACCCCTGGCAGGAGCACAGAAGTGGTAGAAAAATATCCCTCAAAATACCGCTTAATTTGAAAAATAAGTCAGCCATACGATGGGAAGGCTTATTAGGATATGAAAAGAAACAGCTGATATGGATAAATGCTTGTAGAGAACATATTAAATTCATTGAGAACACCACACATTATTTAAAAAAATATTTTAGGGAGATCAAAAAGCTAATGTGGCAAAAGTGGAAAAGACTAAAGGAATTTTTTTTTTTTAAGTACAAAGATTTTGGGAGACACCATTTGTTTGCTATGAGGCTTCTATTTTTTTCCAATTATTTTATTTGATCTGCTACAGCTAGAATCCAAATCCCATCCTCCCAAAAAGACCAGAAAACCTACTAGAAAAATTGGAGAAGGAATCAGTTTAGATTAGTGGGAAGACTGTCTCTGGAGATGCAATAAAGCAGAGAAAATAACCACATCTTCAAAAGCAGAGCTCCCTACCCACTTCCTGGAACTGGAGACAGGGGTGGAGAAGCAGAGGGATGCAGTCTGCACCATCACAAAAACTCTCCTCACAGTGTCCGGAACATATTCAACAGCTCTCCTGGAAAAACACCCTCCTGGACAGCTTCCTGCAAGATGTTACATGGATGCAGCTGAAATGTGGCAACAGCCATTGGGAGAGCAGAGGGCCCCAGCTCTGGAAGCAACCACAGGTTTTGAGGGTGAAGGAGCAGCTCCCCACTTCTGCTGGCCTTGGCTCTCAGCACAATCTAAGATCTCCCAGGGGCTTCTGTGCAACAACAGCTTGGAGAACACTGCTATGTCTGCAAAAAGCCTTGCCACAGCAGCTTTTGCAGTGGAATTACTACTGTCCGGAGTTTAAATCACTGTAGGTCTGGGGCTGCAGAATCACATACAAACCTTTTTAATTAACTGAAATAACCAGGAGAAATGAATGCTGTTAGAGACACAAAGACAATAATGTCACTATTTTCTTGAGTGAAACCCCACCTGTTTGTATTGAGATTTTCAACCAAAAATCTCCACAAAGTCTCAGGAAAAAGTAAAGGAAATACAAAAAATTAAGAGCCCTTCTGCCAGCTGGTGAAGAAATGATGATTTCCTCCATTTCTACCACCAGTGTCACCTGGGGACATGCTCCCCTCTCCTCCACACCCCGACCTGCCACCCTGCACACAGCTGGAGTACAGCTGCAGCCAAACAACATGCAGCAGACAAGACACCATGGCACACCCTGTCCCTTGCTGGGACACACCTGCACCCTTTCCCCAGCCCATGCCACAGATGTTTCTGACATCTCAAGTTATTTCAGGTATGTCCAGCTTGCTTGAAACAGACCAAAGCTCAGGAATCACTGGGTGAAAACACAAGCCTCCTTCCCTTCAGCTGTGGCACCTCTCCAAACCACAGTGCCTTCCCCCTAATTCCCAAATGGCAATTCCTCTACATAGCTGCAGCAAAACAAATTGTGTTCAGCACTCTTGCAATCCTCACCTTCTGAAAATAACAAATACCCTGGTTTATGTTCATCTTGTGATTGTATGCATTACTCCTAAACGTCCTCTCTATATAATTTTATAGAAAAGCAACCATGGTATTCCTACCAACTTCAAAGACTTTTTTAAGTGGACTTATTTGCCTTTTCTTCAGGTTTGATTAATAAAGATAACCACAAAATCATCCAGAAATTCTGCCATAATTAAAATAAAAATTTTATATAGATGTCCTGTGAGAGAACTGGAACTGCACATGGTTGTTCTTTGACAGCTGTCAAACGTGTTCCCAAGCAGATTTCATTTATTCACAGGCTTGTCAGAGACAAACCAATACAGGAAATATAAACTTCCCATTAAATGTTTCAACTAAAATCTTGAGCAAGTTCCCACTGCTAAATGATTTAGTTCATCCACACACTTCAAACTTAAATGTTAACACAGAAGAGGTAAACAGATGCCAAATGATAATTCAGCTGAAGTACATCCTGGATATTCCCTACCACACTCTAATGCCAAAAATGGGAGTATTTCTGTTTGTATTGATGTATTACAACATCTGAGGAAGGAGATTGTCCTCATTTCGAAAAATCCACCTGTTTTTGAGGAAACAAACAAAAAAAAATGCATGAGATGCTGTCCTGGAGAACTAGGACTCCAACAAACATTGACTATAAACTCAGGCATGAACATGTTTGTCCAATCTTTTGTTTCTATTGTGCTATGGGGGCTGACACAGGTAGTTCGGACAGGTCTTCAGTCTTCATATTCCCTCTTTTTTAAGTCAAGTCAGCAACTGTAAAATTTACTGGATGCACAGCACAGGGAGTATTATTATTCTATAAAATGTGTACAACATTGTCAACACCAACATCTCCACAAATCAGACAAAGGGTCTTCACCTTCGGCAGACAGAAGCCGAGAGTTGATGGTCAGTGCAGAAGCTGTGGCTGCTCAGCTGAAGGTCGACATCCTCTCCTCAGGAGTATGGCAGAACAAAACCTGTACAGTCTGTACATTCCCCCTTCTCCAAAACACACAGTAATGATTTAGATGCATAGTTTTAAAGCAATTTTCATACAAG